TCCCCCAGCACCACATGCCAGCCAGCCCCACCCCCTGGTGGGCTGAGCTGGCCACACACACACACACACACACACACACAAATAAATAAATAAAATTTAAAAAGAAAGTTAAAAACTCAACAGCAGGGCTGGGGAGATGGCTCAGTAGAATAAGTACTTGCCTGGCAAGCGCAAGGGCCTGAGTTCAATCCCTGGTTCTGCCAAAAAAACAAAAACAAAAACAAAAAAACAAAAAACAGAAAAAAAAAACCTCAACAGCAACAATAAGCAGTCTGACAAAAAAAGGGAAATTAACATTTCTTGGGCTGGTGAGATGGTTCAGTGGAATAAGCGCTTCCCTGGCAAGTGCAAGGGCCTGAATTCAATCCCCGGTTCCGAAAAAAAAAAAAAAATCTTAAAAGATGATATACAAAGGTTGGCCAAATAGCTCAGTCAATTAAAAGTGCCTGCAAGCAGGTACAGCAGCAGGGTTCAATCCCCAGGCCTGCCATTCCGGCCCTGCCCCCAGGCATGCTGAGATTGAGATGAGGTGTGGTGGCACATGCCTGTAATCCTAGCTCTTGGGAGGCTGTATACGGGCAGATCACTAGGTCTGGTCTAGTAGTGAGACCCCGAACACTCTGTAGACCCTTCCCTAAAATAAAAAAAAAAGATGATATACAAACAAAAACCAAAAAACAAAACATATGCTAGTGAGGATGCTGAGAATGGGGAAGTCTTACACTGTTGGTAGGAATGTAAGTTAGTGATTACTAATGACTCACCACCCTGAGACACTATGGAGGTTCCTCAGAAAACTAAAAATAGAAGTTACTTATCATGGAGCTATCTGACTACTAGCTATATATACAAAATAAGTGAAATCAGTGTATCAAAAATATACCTTGGGCTGAGGATATAGCTCAGTGGCATAAGCATTTGTCTGGCAAGTACAAGGTCCTAAGTTTGATCCCTGGTAATTTTTTTTAAAAAAAAGCCAGGTATGATGGCCCACACCCGGAACTCCAGCACCCTAGAGGCTGAGGCAGGAGTCCTCAGCAACTTAAAAGGTTCCCATCTCAAAAAGAAAGAGAAAGAAAAAAACTAAAAAACTAGAGTTGTAGCTCAGTGTGGAAGCCCTGGATCAATCCCCAGTACCAAAATAGGCGTGTGAAATCATATCTTAGCATGCTCACTGCCACACTGTTCACAAAAATAAGATATGTAACCAGCAAGTCACGGTGGCACGGGCCCGTAACTACAGCACTCAGGAGGCTGAGGGAGGATGATCACAGCGAGTTTGAGACCAGCCGGGGCTACAAAGTGAGTTTATTTTTTTATTTTTAATTTTATTTATTTATTTATTTATTTGTGTGTGTGTGTGTGTGTGTGTGTGGCCAGCTCAGCCCACCAGGGGGTGGGGCTGGCTGGCATGTGGTGCTGGGGGATTGAACCGCGGTCCCTGTGCTTTGCTAAGCTTGTTCTTAGTAGGTGCTTTAGACCACTGAGCCATCTCACCAGCCCCATACAAAGTGAGTTTAATGGCCAGTCACAAAAAAAGTTTTGTCATTTTGGGCAGCACAGATGGAACTGGAGGACATTATGTTAGGTAAGTCAGACAGACAAACACCACATGTACTTATTTACATGTGGAAGCTAAAATAAAAAAGTTTTCATAGAAGAAACCACCACTCCCCACCACTCAACAAAAAAAGAAAAAAAGAAGGAAGAAGAAGAAGGAAGAAGGAGGGAAGGGGGGGGGCGGAAGGGGAGGAGGGGGAGACAGTGGGGGAGGAGGAAGGGGAGAGGAAGGGGGCGGAGGAGGGGGTGGTGGTGGCGGCGGCGGTGGAGGAGGATTAGAAAATTCAGGGGGGGCCGGGGAGATGGCTCAGTAAGAAGAAGAATGTGAATTAGAAAATCCAGGCGGGGGGGCCGGGGAGATGGCTCAGTAGAATAAGTGCTTGCCTGGCAAGCAGAAGGGCCTGAGTTCAATCCCCAGTCCTGGACTACAAAGTGAGCTCAAGGCCAACCTGAGTCACAAAGTGAGACCCTATTTCAAAAAGAAAATCTAGTACCATGCTTGGCATCAGACAGGTGCCCATCAATACCAGAGAAACAAGAAGAATGAGAAGAGCCAGGGCCAATGAGACAGCTCACTGGACTAAAGTGCCAGCTTAGGCAAGTTTAGTTCAGGGACTGAGGTTCAATTCCCGGCACCACGGTTTGATCCCCAGCACCACATGCTGCGCCAGCCCTGCCCCTAGGATGGGTTGAGCTGGCCACAGAGTCCAGGCATGGTGGCATACACCTATGATCCCAGTGCTGGGGAAGCTGAAAACAGGAGGATCACTGAGTCCAAGCTGCATAGCGAGACCCTATAACAACCGAATACATAAAAAAGAGTAAGACAAGCCAGAGGCTCAGAGAGTGAAGGTTAGTAGGGTATGAAGACTGGCGGGATGGAAACTGGGCAAATCAGAGGCACTGAGTCAGCCAAAAAGGATTCAAGAGAAAGATTCGTATCTCACCTGTTAGAGACCATAATGAGCTTATGTTTCAGGTATTTCCTCTGTTCCTCAAGGTTAACTGTGGGGACACAGCAGGTGGGGAGAGGTCAATTTGTTGGGCTGGAGCTCAGGGTTCTCCTAATGGAGCCAGTCCTGACAACTGCTATCTGTTTACTAACTAGCAAAGCCATGGACAAATCCTGTAGCTACTCTGGTTACTGGATTTCCCACATTTGAAAGAAAGAGACTGGATCTAAGTATGTCTGAGGATCCTTGCATTCAATCTGGCAATGACTCCCACCTTTTTCCTGGTAGTAGCGCCCAAAAGCCTCATCGCGGGGGATGCGGGGATAGAGGAATTGCAGAGGGTTCTCCGGTATGTTCTCCTCGGTGAGCAGCTGGTAGTGTCGAATGATTTCGGTCAGTGGGAGGGAGTGCAACACCTCCTTGGTGTAGGGCTGCACAGAGTAGATGACCACCTTATCTGGAGAGTGGATAGGGATGGGTAGGCTAGACAGAAGAGGCTGGTCTGGAGCTTCCCGCCCTTGCTGCCCAACCCCAAAGGAGGCGGTAGGTGACGACCTAGGCAGAGAGCTGAGGCTGTGGACACACCAGGGCAGAGCAACTGACCATCATCCTGGTGCTCCACCCAAGAGCAGGTGATGCCTCCTTCTGAAGATTCACTGAACCGCAGCAGGAACGTGCCGGAGATGGTCCTCTTCAGCAGCCGGCGCTCCTGGTTCCGGCTCACGAAGCCCATGATGCGCCTGGAGCACAGGGAGGAGCCCTGAGATCCTGCAGACCCCCTTGCGTGGGAGTAGGGTCTGCATTTGGGCCCTAGCTCTGACCCCTGTAAATGTTTCCATTTCAGTCATTTCCCTTTAGTGGTGAGCACCCCATCTCCAATCCAGGACTTGAAAAGGTGTGACAATTCCATGAGACCACTGATAAAAAGCACTTTATAAAAGCCAGGCAGGGCTGGTGAGAGGGCTCAGTGGTCTAAAGCACCTACTTAGAACAAGTTTAGCAAAGCACAGGGACCGCGGTTCAATCCCCAGCACCACATGCCAGGCAGCCCCGCCCCCTGGTGGGCTGAGCTGGCCACACACACACACACACACACACACACACAAATAAATTTTTTTAAAAAGCAAAAAGCCAGGCAATGGTCGTGGTGTGCACCTATAATACCAACACTTGGGAGGCTGAAAACATGAGAATCACTACCAGTCTATATGTAGTGAGACCCTGGAGACCCTGTCCCAAATACATTAAAAAAAAAAAAAAAAGCCAGGCAATATCATGGTCTTAGCATCACATAGGCTTGGGTTTGAATCCCAATTCTGTCTTTGGGGTAAATGCTTTAACTTCTCTAAGATTTAGTTTCCTCACTGAGTGTGGTCAAAAGATTTAAAGGTGAGAATTCACAGAGAACTCAGCAGACGCTAGAACTAGTAGATGCTTAGCAAATACAGCCCAAATTGTTTTCAAAATGTGACCTCTAAAAAAAAAAAGAACAAAAGAAAGAGAAGTGACCTCTTAGCAGGGCATGGCAGCACATGCTTATAATTCTAGTACTATGGGAGACTTAGGCAGGAAGATCTAAAATTTAAATCCAGCCTAAGCAATTCAGTGATAGCCTTATCTCAAAAAGAAAAATGGGGGGTGGTGGTGTGCTAGGAATTAAGTCCAGTACAGAGACCCTGAACTCAATGCTCAGGACTGGAAAAAAAACAAAAAACAGAAATCAGAGGCCACATGCAGTGGTGCAAGTTTCTAACTCCAGCACTCAGAAGGCTGAGGCAGGGGGATTGCTGTGAGTTCAAGGCCAGTTTTGGGCTATAAAGTGAGTTCAAGGACAGTCTGAATTACATAGTGAAACCTTTTTTTTTTTTTGGCGGACGCAGGGATTGAACTCAGGCCCTTGCGCTTATTCTACTGAGCCATCTCCCTGGCCCACCCTGTCTTAAAACAGACCAAAAAAAAAAAAAAAAAAA